GAGCCAGCCCGTGAGGGGCCCAGTACCGTTAAGTGGCAGAGCCGCGCGCAGCGCCTGCGCGGAGCCGCACGTGCCCGGCGCGGGGCCCGGGCGCGGGGCGGGTCCCTCCGCGGGGCCCAAGGGGTCGAGGCGTGAGGGGAGCGCGCGCGGGGAGGGGGGATGACACACGGCCGCCCTCCCGCCACAGCCGCGCCCGGTGAGGTGACTCCCCGTCCCCCCGGGAGGCAGAGAGAAGAGGGAAGGCAAGGAGAGCTGGCGGGTCAAGGTACACCATGGCTGAGTGAGTGGAAATAACGGGGCGGGGGGGAGAAGGGAAAGGGGGCGGGCGGCGCCCGGGCATCTCCAGCTGCTGCGGGTGCAGCGGTGCCTCGCCGGTTCCTGAGGTAAAAGAGATGGTTAACTTCTCTAATCCCCACCTCCGCGGGCGGACAAGAAGGGTGGAGAGGGGCTCTTTCCAAAGGCATGTAGCGATGAGGCAAAGGCATGTAAGATGAGGGGCCATGGCTTCGAACAGAAAGAGGGGAGATTTAGATGAGATCTCAGGAAGAAATCTTCCACTGTGAGGGTGGTGAGAGCCTGGCCCAGGTTGCCCAGAGAAGCTGTGGCTGCCCCATCCCTGGAGGGGTTCAAGGCCAGGCTGGATGGGGCTTGGAGCAACCTGGTCTGGTGGGAGGTGTCCCTGCCCAGGGCAGGGGGTTGGAACTCCATGATCTTTAAGGTCCCTTCCAACCCAAACCATTCTATGATTCCATGAATATCTCTTCTGTTGATCATCTGCCCCGTTGTGTCAGCTCCCCAACCTCTTCGGCACCCCCAACCTGGGAGGGCAGAGTAAGAAACACAAACGGCCTCGGTGCTGTGCCAACACCCTTCAGGGGTCACAGATCTACACCCCAGCCCCATACAGCCTGCTAAGGAAAAAATTAATTCCATCCCACCCAGGCGCAGTACAGCAGGTAACAAAAGATGTCAGAGAGGGAGAGCTGTGGAGGCTTCCAGATGAAGAAGTGTGGTGGTGTTGCAGTCATATAACGTCATTTATTCTGCAATAAAAAAAGATACTCCTCTGGGAATTGGCCTGAAAATTGGAAGGGGTCTGGGAGAGTTGACTTTGACTTAAACTTCTCAGAAGAGTTTGCAAGGATATTATAAATGCCGTTAATAATGCCATAAGCAGGAATGCTTTCCTCCTTCCCAAGAGTTACTTGGGAAAAGGAGACCTTTGGCAGAAAAATGAACTTTGGCTTCTGGCAAGATTAAGAGAATCTTTCTAAAATTCTGGGAGGGAGAGGAGAGTTGGTCATGGAGAAACAGAGAAACTGTAAAACTCAGTATCAGGTTTCCAGGAGAAGAGCAAAGATGGTCTAAATTTAGGCAAGGGGACAGAGAAATAATGGGAGATAATGAATCTTGCAATTTGCTGTGCCTAACTGGGGCACAGGGTGGAGATAGCGACTCAGATATGGGTCCATCCAAGCAAAGTGTTCCCCTGATGCAGCCTCCGTAAAATGCAAAACCAACCCCTATTTCATAAAGTTTTAGGCTTTGTGCTGGATCAGTATTTTTGGATTCCTGTGGCACTTGATCCCTGCTTGTCAGCGTTCGTCAGTTGACTAGTGCCTCATCACTTACCTACGTTAGAATTTCTTACCTGTTTGAAACTTGTTTTGTTTTTAAATGTTTGGCGTTGTAGATTATTTCTTACTAAATGTTCAAACTAGTGCAGACTGCAGCGAGCGTATGCAGAAGTTTACCTTAAGAATCCTGGCCGGGACTCACATTTACGAAGCAGAGACTACTTGTGATCTCGGGGAATGTAACCTGCTCCCAGGACTGGTATGTTCAAAACCTACCCAGTGGACACCCAGGAATGAGCTGGGATAAGATACAGAGGAGGGCTGGTAGGGTAATGAGCTCTAGCGTCCCTGTTTTGGAGTACGAAGAAGTGTCATTTGATAACAGCAGGTAATATAGAGTGCCAACGAATCGATACAGAACCATAAAATAATTTAGATTGGAGGAAACCTCAGGAATTCGCTCAGTTCAAAGCCGGGCCAGCCTCAAAGTTAAGCTCAGGGACAACATCTCAGCCTCTCCTGGACTGTTTGCTGAGAAGACCTTTGGTGATAGCTCCTCCCAAATCCTCTCATCATGCTTTTGCTCTGCCAGCTTGCTACAAGGGATTGCACCACTGTGCAGTGCACTCGGCAAGGGGAACTAAACAGAATCATTGTGGCTGATTTAATTAGTCTGTAGTGGCTCTGTCACACCAGAATTGAGGTTGTACTGGTCTGTTTGCTAATTCCGTTTTAGTCAGTGTCTTCACAGACACAGGTCTCCGCAGTAATCTTAACTTTTGCGGAACACTTTTTATGTCACTAATTTGTGAAAGTTTTCAAGCCACTTAATCTTCATTGCAGAAATTCTTGTTTTCCGAGTGCTTTGTTGTAAATTAGGTTTTATATTACATTCATGATGGGAATAAATATTTCAAAAAGCATCCTGAGATGCTGTAGCAAAAATACATTTATTTTGTAGAAACATTAATTTGCTGTTTCTTCACCAACTGGTTTTCCATTCCCCCTGGCAAACCCACATGCTAGTAAGGTTCATAGTTGAAAAAAATCATTGATGTGCACGCCGTGGTAATTCTTTAACATACCTTTTTCACCCGTAGTCTCTTGAGAGTCAGTAGTGTTACTGCCAAAGTTCATGTATTTGGACAATCAGCTAGAATCTCTTTCTTTTTCCACTCTTTGATGGGACACTACAGGAGAGAAATCTTCACTGATTTCTTCCCTGACAATACAACATGCAGCCTCCTTACTTCTCTGGTAGTCCTTTGGTTCTTTCTGCTGCTTTCTCCTGTGCTACAGAAAGACATAAAAATCTCCCACTGTTTGTTGGCGAAGGATCATAAAACTGATTTGGCTTTCTGCAAGAGAAAAGTGAGAGAGCAGAATTAGTAATTGATGCATCATGATATATATGCTGCTGCCCTGTGCCTTTTTGCTCTAAATCTAGAATAATCCAAATCCAAACTGTGTGTTTTCCAGTCACTGGTAGTACTATGTGCAGGGAACATACCCTAGGAAGACATTGGTTGTCACTTTTGTTTTCCAGGATCTGAAAGTCCAATATTTAAAAAGATTTAAATGGGCATAATGCTGTGAAAGGGGGTGAACATCACAAAGAATCCTGCTTATCACTCCAGCTGTATGTATATTTGGGGAGAATGGTTTATAAAACTCCTTTGTGGGTGAATATCATCACTAATCAATTCCCTGTTTAATACTACTTAAAGCCGAACATTTAAATGTGTGCTTGTATATTTTGCTGAATTAGGGTTTCAATTAACAAATCTCAAGCTCCTACACGAAGAACAGGATCTTTTGCTTTTAGATGATAAAACCCCTTGTGCAAGACTCTGAGGATGACATTCTCATATGATGCCTGATGTAGGATACCCTGTTGATTGGGGACAGCGTCCTACACGAAGAACAGGATCTTTTGCTTTTTGCCCTTGTGCAAGACTCTGAGGATGAAATTCTCACATGATGCCTGATGTAGGGTACCCTGTTGATTAGGGACAGCATGGTATCCATAGACGTGGTGAGGTTGTTACGCACATCCAGTGTCTCCTTTTGTTGCAGTTGAGGAAGAGTATTTAAAGTCTGATCTAACTCTTACAGAAATGAGTGAGATCTAGATCATGCCATGAGAGACATCGTGCAATTCCAGTGTATACCAGTCACAGCATTTATATCACAGCACATTATATCTGGGAAAATTTGTGTCCTGAAATTCCTGCTGTATGATGCCTGATGTAGGATACCCTGTTGATTGGGGACAGCGTGGTATCCATAGACGTGGTGAGGTTGTTACGCACATCCAGTGTCTCCTTTTGTTGCAGTTGAGGAAGAGTATTTAAAGTCTGATCTAACTCTTACAGAAATGAGTGAGATCTAGATCATGCCATGAGAGACATCATGCAATTCCAGTCTATACCAGTCACAGCATTTTCAGCAAAACATTACTGGTACTAATAGCACATTATATCTGGGAAGATTTGTGTCCTGAAATTCCTGCAAGGACCTAAGAAACACTTTTGTGATGAGGCTGCCTCTTCCAAAATAGCTTCTGAAACTGATGGGTTGTTGTCCTATCCCTGGAGATCTGTAAAGGGTGTTCATACAGGAAGGAAGATTCAAGATTTTTTTGGATGAGAGTGCAAGTTTTACTAACATGGTTTTTGTGTTATTGGAAATGTATGTTCCTGGGCATATGAAAGTTTCAGTTCAAATACTCCTGCATACTGAGGGGTTTTGGAAGCTAGAAGTGCAGTGGTAGGAGAGGTGGCTCCTTTGTCTCTCAAGCAAAAGCCTTACTCTGCAGAATAGGCTGCTCTGCTGTGGGGATCACACAGCAACGTGACTGTGTCAGAATTGGAACCTTATGATTACTGGGGCAAGAACATTTGTCCTGATATGTGAAAAGTGGTCTACAAATTGGAAAGTCATGGATTCGATGAATGGACCCCTCGGTGGATAAGGAACTGGCTGTATGGCCGCACTCAAAGGGTTACGGTCAATGGTTCAATGTCCAGTTGGCAGCCAGTGACAAGTGGTGTTCCTCAGGGGTCACTACTGGGACCAGTGCTGTTCAACATCTTTGTTAGAGACATGGACAGTGGGATTGAGTGCACCCTCCGCAAGTTTGCCAATGACACCAAGCTCGGTGACGCAGTCTGGCTGGATGGCCGCACTCAAAGGGTTACGGTCAATGGTTCAATGTCCAGTTGGCAGCCAGTGACAAGTGGTGTTCCTCAGGGGTCACTACTGGGACCAGTGCTGTTCAACAGCTTTGTTAGAGACATGGACAGTGGGATTGAGTGCACCCTCAGCAAGTTTGCTGATGACACCAAGCTCGATGACGCAGTCGACACACTGGAGGGAAGGGATGGCATCCAGAGGGACCTGGACAGGCTGGAGAGCTGGGCTTGTGCAAATCGCATGAAGTTCAACCAAACCAAGTGCAGGGTCCTGCACCTGGGACGTGGCAATTCCAGGCACAAATACAGGTTGGGCGGAGAATGGCTGGAGAGCAGCCCTGAGGAGGGTTTTAAACTGGAAGAGGGGAGATTTAGATTTAGATCAGGAAGAAATTCTTTGCTGTGAGGGTGGTGAGAGCCTGGCCCAGGTTGCCCAGAGAAGCTGTGGCTGCCCCATCCCTGGAGGGGTTCAAGGCCAGGCTGGATGGGGCTTGGAGCAACCTGGTCTGGTGGGAGGTGTCCCTGCCCAGGGCAGGGGGGTTGGAACTAGATGGTCGCTAAGGTCCCTTCCAACTCTAACCATTCTGTGATTCTGTGATTCTATGATTCTAAGTGGAAAAATAGATCATAGCAGAAAATAAGTAGTATAAGCTGTTACTTTGTAGTATGAGCTGTGCTGTTCCACAGGACAAGTACTAGGAAGAGAATACAATGATCGAAGCTCACAAAGAAGTACTCAGGAACCTCGATGCCGTCCCTGGTCTGAAGTTATGGTTGTGCTGCCTGCTGAGGTGCTGCTGAGGCAGACATACCCAAATAGATCTTGGCGGCATGGGTTCAGCTGCCTGGGGAGCACCGAGTGCCTTGGGAAGGCTTGTGCGCTGGGATTTCAGTGCTGTCCGGCCTGGCACGGGCACATCTATTCATATCTCAGTCCTCACTTCCAGATTACCATTAGAGAAGTTCTTTTGAAAGTGTAATTCCCAATAATTGAAACTCACACATTTGTAAAGTGGCGGCAGAACGTTTGGACTCTAGTCAGTAGCTGTTTCTGTAGTAAACTGATTTCAAATTGAGTTAGTGCAGTTGTTCCTCTTGGAATACCTTGTAAGTGATATTTGGAAAGGTAAATCACAAAGTTTTCCAGGCCAGTTACTTAATTCTGCACAATCACAGGTTAGGAAGGTATTATGAGTTAAAACTTACCATCTATCATCTGATAACTGTTTCCTTGTGTGCTCTTAGCACACAGCAAGTATGAGATAACATGCCTTAGCCTAGCCCACGAGGAGGAATTTTCAGTGTGATTGTATTAACTTTGTATTTGCTGCAGAATAAAATACCCGCGTGGACGGGTGTTGCGCAATGCTGTGTGTAAAATGCTACGGCTTGTGCGTACTTGTACACCTACGGACAGACAGTGTGTTCCAGGTCTAACTGTGCCATTTGAAGATTTTGCCAGTTTGCACCTACACGCTGCCCCTTTGATGCTGCAGTTGCTGCTGCTGCGGCTCTGCCGGTGAAAGGTTTTGTTTAAGAGCGCTTTAATTCGCTTCAGGCAAAGCGAGCAGGTTGGTTTAAACCCTCTTTGTTGAGTAATCCGTCTGACTTGTTGGAAGCACGCGAAGGAGCGCTCCCTTAATGCCTTCTGCCAACAGAGCTGCAGGGGTGGGAGCTCTCAGCAGAGGAGTGGTGAGAAACAGCTGGGAGAACGATAATGCCACCGACGGCACACCTGTCTGCCAGCTGACTTCGTCCTGCACGCGCCGTGGGCATCGTAGCTCTTCCAGACATGTCCGTGCCTTTTTTGGTACATATTCCTGGCTTAATTCTCTTTTATACTAAGTACTTCTCTAGAGCTCTGGCAATACAAACCCATTCGAAAGCATCCAGATGTGTTAAAGCCTTCTAACTTGGCAAAACAATGTGAAAAGGTCTAACAGGTGAATAGCAATGACTAACAAAATTAAATTTGTAATTTTCTTATCCAGAACCTGAGCTATTCCTTTAAAGGGTGCCAGATGCACGGGGAGCCCTGGATGCGGGGTGGCACTGCTGTCCCTCAGCCAAGGGATGGCCCATTTCGGGGCTGTGTCACACTGATTTCACACTTCTGGGGGAAGTTCACATCATGGAGTCTTCACTCTCAGTTTGCACGTTTTCTCATGGCCACCATGCACATGACTCCCATTACTCTTAAACCCAGAGGGGTCGAACTGCACAGACCTTTGAGAAGAGTTTTGTCTGCCTGGCTGTGACCAGATGTCTTTGTACACTCTTTCCAGGTGTGTCCTTCCTGTTGTAGAGCCTTCTCCCCGGGCTACACCATCACCTTGCCTGAAAGGCCCATGGGGCAGATAGTGGCTTCCCTCCTTTCATGGGTTCTCCTGCTGTCTTTGGTGAGCTGTGGCAGATTCATTAAAGAGTCTGTCTTATGCTTTCTCTCTTCTCCTTTTCATTATTTTCCTGATCTCTTTAGTTTGTATTTTCTTGTATTTTCAGGCTGGGACTTTGTCTTGGTTTCAGCTGAGATAGAGTATAATTTTCTTTCTAGACGTTGCTGTGTTTTCGGATTTGGTATGAAAAGAATGTCAGTGATGCATTGTTTTAGTTGTTGCTAAGTGACTTTTTTCAGCTACCTACAGAACCTGAGAAGGAGCACAGACAGAACAACGGAATGGCCAGTGGAATATTCTGTACCATAGACATCACACTCAGTATCTAATTGGGGGTTGGCTGGGTGGTGGGGGGAATCTGATCTCTCCTCGGGTCTGGAATATTCTGTACCATAGACATCACACTCGGTATCTAATTGGGGGTTGGCCAGGTGGTGGTGGGGAATCTGATCTCTCCTCAGGTTGGGCTGGGCAAGCAGTTCACTGGGCGGTGAGAGTGACTCGTGTCTTCTATAATCTTTTACCATTACTATTAGTTTTTTAATTATTGTTATTTTCCTTTTACGCTTTTGTTCTGTTAAACTGTCTTTATCTCAACCCATGAGAGTTTTTTCCCTTTCCCTTCCTTTTCTCCCGCTTCTCCCTGCCCTTTTTGGGGAGAACGAGGAGGTGAGTGAGAGGCTGTGTGGTCCTAGCTGCTGGCTGGGGTTCAACCACAACAGGCTTCTAGACATGCTTACCAAGAGATTGTGCTTTATCCACTGCTGTTGTTGCTATTATGGCTACTAACTATATTCCTTGTTTTGGAACATTCCAATTAGTCCAATCTTAATGTTCTAGCTTCACATCGTTGTTTCTTCTTGTTCCTTTTTTTCCTTTTCTATTCTCCACATGGACAGCACTGCTATTTGGTTTAGTAAATCACCTGCAGCCTAAATGAAAAATACTTTTTTTTTGGTCCGGTAAAGCACTTGAGCATGTGTTTACCTCTAGATAAGGATGTTTTCATGTGCTTCTATGAAGAAAGAACACAGGGTTTTGCTAAAGAGATATTTTTTTCTGAAGTAGGACTGGAAAAGCTGATCTGGAGCATGCTGCAGGAGGTGGAAATCTGCTCACTCCTTGGGGCCAAGTGCTTTGGCGATGGAGGGATTTTTTTTCTGTATTCCTACACTTACAGGTATGGCCAGTTTAGTTTTAGCAAATGTGAGGCGTTTCCTCTTTGTTCCAGCCCTCTTTTAAAGTAACTTAGCCTGTTTATACCCAAGATCTGGTAGTCTTAATTGCATCTTTCCGATCCTTTTGTCTGTCTTTGGGTTAGATGTCTGCTCTGAGTGGAGGTCAGCTCTGAAAGCTGCTGGATTTCAACTTTTACCTGACTGAAAAAATAGTATGTTCTTGTTATTTTATGGTTTTTGATGGTCCGCCATAGTAGTCCTGTATTTTTGAGTCTGCAACTGGGACAGATTTGCTTTATCAGTAGGTGAACAAACTGTGAAAGATACACTTTAATCCTACCTTTAAGGAAGGGAGCGAAGCTCCTCTTGTGGATATTTAAACAACTGTACTTTCCCCAGAACTTTGATCAGTGCCATTTTTCTTATTTCCAAGCCTGCCAAGTGGGCCAATAGTACTCTCTTTGTCCTAGGTTACCAAAGTTCGTAGAAAGCATGAGTCCTCAAACCAGAACAAAACCAAAATTCCTTAAATTGAGTGACATCTGTCAGCAAAGATGCTAATGCCGTGTCGGTAAGGAACAGGGTTGGTGATCTCAAACATTGTTAGTGATGTCCTCATTATAGGATGTTGCTGTTTCTGCTGTTGCCGATGCCGGGCACAATCCTGCAGATGTTTTCTCCCGGCCATCTTTGGCAGTCAGTGCCCAGGCATGGCTGCAGCGTAACCCAGGCAGGGAGCAAGGGGAGGAGACTCCAAAGCAGGTCCCAGGGGAAGGAGGGACAGCCCTGGCTGAAGCCTCCCTGCATTGCATTTGGAAAGAGCTTTCCCCAAGGTCACCAGCTGCACTGTCTCTGAGCTGGCCCTGAGCCCAGGCAGCCAAACCTCCCGGGAGGACGGGCATGAGCTCAGGGCCCTGACACCCCATTTTGTCCTTACTGATGTCACCTGCCCACTTCACCAGCCATTCCCTGACCTAATGCTTCCTTTTCTTTTTTTCTTTTTATTTTTCTTTTCCCAAAGCAGGTCACTGCAAGCAAGGAAGGAGTCCCCAGCAATGCTGACTGCCTTTGCGCTGCCCTCACGCCGTGCCTCTCCCTAAGGTACATCTCCCCAAACCATCAAAGCCCTCAACCGTGCCCACATGTTCCTCTCCACACAGTGTGGGTTCCCACATCCAGTGTTGATGACATTATGCCTATTGCATCACCCCATCCAAATTATAATCATAGCAGTAGTCCGTGGCCACCTTGGATAGTCTGTTTAGGGTTGGCTAAACATGGGTGGCTGTTCCCTTCTCTATGGCATGGACCTGGAGTGTGTCCCAGAAGCATCAGCACCTCTGGTACTTGTCTGAAGCATTCTTGCTCAACATCCTTTATTTTGCTCCTCTTCCTCCTCCTTGTGGTATTAGGCTGTTGTCCTAATCTACTGAATCTTAACAGCCTTATCTTGCTGTGAGGTTGTTGGTGCCAAATGGGTGTTTTGGAAAGGCATGTCTATTTTCACTAGGAGAAAAACCCCATTTTTTAATACTATTGCTAAAATGTGAGCTCTAATGCTTTGTAAAATCCTGGTTTAGTCAGGAAAATTTCAAGCTTATCTCATTGTAACTACTCAAGCTTTTCTGGAAGTTGTAAGTAAGCTGGAAAATGTTTAATTGTTCTTGCGTGTGAGAAAATCAATGAATGTACTATTGACATTAAATGGAAGTGGCTACTTAACTTTCTGTCAGTGTATTCTGTAAGCATTCCTAGAAACTAGGCATATATCATAATTGAGTTAATTATGTTAAAGTAGGGTAAACAAAAAAAAGCCCTGCAGACACATCTATATACATGGATTTTAAAAATTACAGTTGGCACCTTTGTGATATTTTGATTTAATCTAGGGAGGCTCCATTTTCAAAACCAGGTACTAATGCTAAAGCACTTAGCGCCGGTCACCCAGCTACATCAACATGCTCATTTCAGCAGTTCCATTGAGTTTCCGAGGACACAACGTAATGGTATCAGCTCGGGGGTCAGAAATCTCAGCAAGGCAGACGAGGTGCTCACAGAAATGTTTTTGAAGCGTTTACATGTGTGCTGTAGTTTCCTTTGTACAGATGCACAACAAACCCACAGTCTGTTCAGTCCAGTTTGCAAGCAATTCTGGGTTTTTTGTTGATACCCACATGGAAGCTCATGAAGCCAGCAGTGTTTAATCATCTCTCCTGTGTCGGCAGGCTTGCCATGCCCGTTTCTCATATTCCTTCCACCTCTTGGTTAGACAGCAGCCACACACTAGTTCTGCAGGAGATTCTTGGCACCAGGGAAATCCGTGCGGTAGGGGAAGCATGTAGCAACTCTCCACAACAGCAGCGGTTCTTTTAAATATTCTTAACAGACATTTGGGGTTTTTTTTCACATTGACTTATGAATACTGATTGAAACTCAGGATCTTAGTCTGTGTTGTGAGGGTGCGCTGCCATCAGGGGACTGCTACCTACAACAGTGGTCTCCAAACTTTATTGATAGTGTACACCTACCACTAAAAAAATTCTGAGCATGCACCCCCAATATACGTATATTTTTTTAACTTTTAAATTGAATAAATGTTTTATTGTCTCAATACATTATGTACATTATAAAACATACACAAAAATAGAAATTAAAAAGGGATAAGCTAAAGATAAAATAAGCACCCTTTAAATTTTATTTATTGATTTACTAATGGTACAAAATTTATTTTCTTGCCTCACCCCAATGGATTGTCTTGCACACCCCTTAGGTGTGCACACCTGACTTTCAAAACCAGTGATCTGAAATATAGGCTAAAGCTCAAGGCAAAAAAACAAGACAAAAATAAAGTAAAAAAGTATTTACTCCTTGTCCTTAATATTCTTGGTGCAGTAGGTTAGAGACTTTCAAAGTCTGGTCCAAGACTATGGAATGAATTCCCTCAGGAGCTGAGACTATCACAAACATCATCATCCAAATGTCAACAAGATTTCTTTAACCTGTCTTTATGACATAAATTCATTGCAACATATACGTTAAAGAAAAGCACCCAAATTATCAAAATAAATGAGTCTACAAACCTCTCCCCTGGGGCGGAGGAAGGAGAACAAATGAGGTGTTGCTTAATGCACTACTGGAAAGCAGTTTGGTATTGCTGCAACGGGGTGAGAGCATGAATGGACTAGCGTGTGACACACAACTCTATTTGTTACTCTTTCTGCTCGAGTAAAAAGCTGCACCAATGGGAATTAAATCTTCATTTCAGGTCAACGGGCATTATATATTCATTTTTTAATTGGATACCACTTGTTTAGGATTCTTCTACTGCTTTCTTCCTTCTGCAGTGTCATCCTGACTGTGGAACCGTGAGTGAAGTACTATAAATCATTGACTCCAGCTGCATCTGGCTGTAAAATAACCTAATTTTTTGAGCTCACTTCAAGATTCTTGCTTGAGTTGTATTTCAGTAAAATTGGATTGCTTGCTCTGTTGGCACAACTCTAAATATAGATCAGCCTTTATTTAAATTACTTGTTTCCAAAATTGCTTCAAAGAGTCAGAAATCCAGGAAATACACAGGGAGAGTGAATCCCAGCCTTCCTGAAGGTACGCTACTCTTTTACCTGAAGGGTGAAGTTTATTTCATCCTCAGTGCCTCCCTGGCTCCAATAGTCATTGCATGAGTTGGGACAAGCCTGGAGTCAAAGACTTTCTCTCCTCTCCATGTTCTTTGCACGAGGGAAAGTCCTAGAGAAGACAGTCTGCACGCCCCCACCTCATTTACAGGAGGTCGTTCACCCAGGATCTCGTTTCCAGATCCATGTAGAAATGGGATGAGACTAACTTCATTCACCGCTTTCCTGAGCTTGACAAGAAAGCAGTCTAGGTTTTAGAAATGTTGAGGGCTGACTAGAAATTTTTATTTTACATTGGAAAGTGTACTTTCTGAAAAAAAAAAAAATCAGAATTTTAATAGGCAGTTTTTTATTTTGTCACAGTTTCTCGGTTTGGCTGATGTTCCTGGGAAATTACAACTCCTGCTGTAGCACAGTGCTTTCCCTCTGACTGCTCTGGCTCATACGTTCTGGAAGATGTAGTTTGACCAGCTTGCCATGCCTGTGGGAAAGAATGGGGCATCTTTACTTGAAACAACAAGCTCTTTCAAGCTGTGGAGCTACACCGCAATGGGAAATGAAAGTTTAACATTGAGATGACTGGAAGCAAGTATTTTTAGCCTTGTTTCAACATGATTCTTTACCATGATGTTTCCTAATCAAAGCTTTGGAATTTGTCTTCTGTGTTTCTCCAGGATGTACCTTGAAATAATACCTTTAAACAGTCAAATGCAGCAATTGGTATCTTTGAGTGTAGGAGAGTAAACATCGGTGAAAAATACAACCAACTTGATTGACTGGTATAATGATAAATGGAACTGCAGCAGAATTTACAGCTATTAGTAGATTCAGAGAATCACGGAATTGTTTGTGTTGGAAGGGACCTTAAAAAATCATCTAGTCCAACCCCCTTGCCCTGGGCAGGGACACCTCCCACCAGCCCAGGTTGCTCCAAGCCCCATCCAGCCTGGCCTTGAACCCCTCCAGGGATGGGGCAGCCACAGCTTCTCTGGGCAGCTTGTTTCTGTGTCTCACCACCCTCCTCATAAGAAATTGCCTCCTTACGTTCAATCTAAATCTACCCTCTTTCCATTTAAAAACATTGCCTCTTGTCCTGTCACTTACAGGCCCTGTTGAAAAGTCTTTTGCTACCTTTTTTATAAACCACTTTTAAGTACTGAAAGGCCACTATGGGGTCTCCCTGGGGCCTTCTCTTCCCCAGGCTGAACCACCCCAGCTCCCTCAGCCTGTCCTCACAGGAGGTGTGGCAGCTCATGGATCATTTTTGTGGCCCTCCTCTGGACCAGCTTTAAGAAGTTCCTGTCTTGCCTATTGCTGAAGTCTAATTCTTGATGATGACTAAGTGCTGGTTTCATGTAGGAAATGTTGAAATGTCAGCTTTCTTTGGGATGATAAAACGGGACGAAAACAGATAATGACACTTTCCAACTTCCCAAGGGAAGGGGATTCTCTGTTTAGCTTGATGTAAAACAAGATCTTCCTTGACGAGTTTTGCATAAACCTATCACTTAACTTTTCTCAAGTATTAAATGCTTCTTCTGAAGCTGATCTGAGTATGAAATAGGGCATTTTAGTAACATTTCCATAACATTTTGTGTAATAGCTCAGTAAGTATGCTAGCAGCTTGCACCTTGTCCAGTCTCTCATAAATAATGCATGTTTTGTATCAAAGCCAATATTTTAAATCTACAACAAACATAGAAGTCACAAACAAATATTCATGTGGGAAAACAAAAATGCAGGATTAATTCCATTGGTATGAACTATTTGAATCTTGAATTTATTAAACCTTATATCTGAACAACTATTAACCTTGAAAGTAAAAGGTTAATGAAAAAAGGAAGCTGTGGTGTGATGGCAAGTAGACTGAAAGATTTGTGACTAGAAGAACTATGACTTTCTGGTATTTCTAGAAGTGTGTCTGAAGAAACTAGTGCGTATTATTGAGTTACCAATTGCTTAAATGGCTGTTATAGAAATTCTTGGCCAAAACATCACTACCAGCCACCTTTGGTTATACTTCTCAATTAACAAATGCATTTGATGATTTTGTCTACTCTTTTGAGTGTATTAATTGCTTCATGTTTGTGCGATGTTTTCAAGACAGAGCTGCCTACTGTGGCCTACAGGAACCCAGGACTGCCTCTGAAAATCTAAGCAAAATTATATTTGGCATAACTCATCTGTAAATGACACTCCATAGTAGTAGGATTTTACACAGTGCAAATTTTGCTTCAGACTTCTGGAAAAGCGTCATTGCTGAATGTTCCAGCAAACCTAGTGTAATTTTGGTTTTACCCTCATCTTAAAAAAAAACAAACATATTGTCAAGTTATATAGGAAATTAAAAAAATACTCTCACCCCCTCACCTACCAGCAAAGGTGGTTTTGCGCTTGTTACCAGAAGGCTTTTGGCCAATGTGTGCAACCCAGTAAACCCAGTTGCAGCCTCAGTTGCAGCTGCCGTGGGAGCTGGAAGCACAGGCACAAGAAACTTCTAGTATTACCAGGCCTGGATTACATGTTAGACCAGGTGCTAATGGGGAGAGGAGGACTACAGACCCTTTAGCTGCTCCCTGCCCCCTTCCCCCTCCAAAGCTCCATATAGAATCATAGAATCATAGAATGGTTCGGGTTGGAAGGGACCTTAAAGATCATGGAGTTCCAACCCCCTGCCCTGGGCAGGGACACCTCCCACTAGACCAGGTTGCTCCAAGCCCCATCCAGCCTGGCCTTGAACCCCTCCAGGGATGGGGCAGCCACAGCTTCTCTGGGCAACCTGGGCCAGGCTCTCACCACCCTCACAGCACAGAATTTCTTTCTGGTATCTAATCTAAATCTCCCCTCTTCCAATTTAAAACCGTTACCCCTTGTCCTGTCACTGCACTCCCTGACAAAGAGTCCCTCCCCAGCTCTCCTGTAGCTCCCTTCAGGTACTGATAGGCTGTTATAAAGTCTCCCCGGAGCCTTCTCCAGGCTGAACAACCCCAGCTCTCTCAGCCTGTCTTCACAGGAGAGGTGCTCCATCCCTCTGATCATCCTCGTGGCCCTATCCTATGACACAGACTGGGACATGGAGTAAGAACATCAGAGTACCTTTCAGAGTCCACACGCAAAGCGATGAAGATGCTTCACGTTCACTGTGGAGTGAAAACACCCACCCAGGGATCAAAGCGCCGCTGGGGCATCGCCTGTTTGTATCTTAGCTTGTCTGCAGTAACGTGAACATCTGCCTATACTTCATGCCACGGAATGTATAATTGGAACAGGATACTCAGATTTGCAATTTTATTTCTCCTGAACATGATGGTAGATCCGTAACAGTAACATTATTTATTATCAGCAGCAGCAACAGCAATGTCCAGGGACCAGGCTCGACGGGGCTTTGAACAACCTGCTCTGATGGGAGGTGTCTCTGCCCAGAGCAGGGGGGTTGGAACAAGATGATCTTTAAGGTCCCTTCCAACTCTGACCATTCTATGATTCTGTGATTCTATGATAAAGCACACATGGTGCTGTTTACATAGTTTACATCAAGTTTTCAGGTCTACGTCTTTAAAATGTGACCATGATGTTCCCACAGCTGACTTGCCAGCACTGGGCTGGTTAGCCACCGACCCGCAACCATTTAAGTTAGCAAAGGTTCCAGCCAGCAGCAGCAACCTGCTCCTGAGTTGGGAGGGTGTTCCTCGTAGCCTCCTCCCATGTTGGATGAATGGATGATATGATTCACCTGTAGGTTCTGGAGATGCTGTTAACTCCGTTTTGAAGTTTCAGAGCAGTGGAGATGCTCTTCTCTGAGGTTATGACCCTGCACCAAAATTGGGAATTACCACGGGCAGAAATCTCACAAACTGCATCAGATGTCTTCAGTCTGTCACATCACCAGCAAACCCACACGGCTGCATCGTCGAAACTTGCCTTCAGAGATCATGTATCATTGCTGACAGATCCTCGTCACGTCCTGTATGTCTGATTCAAATCCTTACGAGGTGTCAGGGTAGGTAAATGCAGGAACAGATCAGCTTCCTATTCTGGATCCATGTGGGGCAGCAGGGAGAAGAGAGAGGTGTGATGAGTTTGCAGAGCGTGTCAGCAAACACTGACTTCTGCCCTGGGATCAGCAGGGGTAGACAAGCTCCCTCCCAACACCTAATATGCACTAGCACGTATTCTGCAGAAGTCACTGTGACTGTGGCAGACACGGGCTGCTGTGCAGTGGAGTTGGGGCAGATGCTTGTTAGCCTGTCCTGGTAAACTCTGCAGAGAAGAGGTTCCTTCAGTCGCATCTTCAGAGAAGTATGGGAAGGAGGAATTTTGCGTAGGGAGCAGGCAGGAACTCAGCTGGAAAGAGACTCTCTTCCCCACCCCTTCCTTTTTTTCACTGTGGGCTCTTGCATAATGTCTTCAGCAAAGCTGGCAAATTATGTTTTATCTGTGGCATTCGGTTCCTGGTCTGCGCTGGGGGTGAGTGGCCTGCAGGGTCACAAACAAAATGCCACATTTCCTCAAGGAGAGTTTTGGCCAGTGAATCAGACCCCGTTTGGTTCAGTTTCTTTTAGGTGATACCACAGACTGGAAAAAACTTCTGTATGAAATACTCCCATCCACCCCATTGTCCTAGCGTTTCCTGCAAGTAACATGCTGTCCTGGGGTAGGGAGCATTTCCTCTGAGCTGGCTGTGGGTTTTGTGGGGCTTACCACTGCAATTCTTTGTCTTCAGGCTTCTTGTTTCACATTCTGGCATCTGTGACGCTCCTCAGCATCGACTGGTTTCTGCTTTTCATCTTGCTCACACCTTTGGCTGTTGAATGGAGCTGGAGAAAGTCCAGACTTCTCTCAAGTGCCTAATTCTTCAGATCAAATCCATCTTTGCAGTTTTGGTTTTGGCTTTTATTTTTGGCTAATGAAGATACAGCATTGCTAACAGCGATACTTGTTATCTTCACAATTTTTTTTCTACATATCTTCCACTCTTTCCGTTTGGTTCAGTTTCTTTTAGGTGATACCACAGACTGGAAAAAACTTCTGTATGAAATACTCCCATCCACCCCATTGTCCTAGCGTTTCCTGCAAGTAACATGCTGTCCTGGGGTAGGGAGCATTTCCTCTGAGCTGGCTGTGGGTTTTGTGGGGCTTACCACTGCAATTCTTTGTCTTCAGGCTTCTTGTTTCACATTCTGGCATCTGTGACGCTCCTCAGCATCGACTGGTTTCTGCTTTTCATCTTTCTCACACCTTTGGCTGTTGAATGGAGCTGGAGAAAGTCCAGACTTCTCTCAAGTGCCTAATTCTTCAGATCAAATCCATCTTTGCAGTTTTGGTTTTGGCTTTTATTTTTGGCTAATGAAGATAGTGATACAGCATTGCTAACAGTGATAATTGTTATCTTCACAAATTTTTTTCTACATATCTTCCACTCTTTTCCAAGGTCTTTCTTTTGCTTTTAGTCTCCTGTTGTGCAGATGCATTTTGCTGCATTTTTAACTGTTATTCATCCTTCACTGTCTGATGTCTGGTCCTCTTTATGGCCTATGCCACAGAATTTGTCCTTTGTGTTTTACTAGGATGTCCTGGTCCCACATCCAGCATTACTGCATGAATAAGGTAATCATAAACCACCTACAGTTGCCTAAGAAATTTTTCTAATCAAGTCTCCAGCAGGCAGAGTCAGCGTAACCGCCTCGGTGACAGTCTGTCCCTTGCAAGGGACCCTGGCACAACAGCCTTTGTCAGGTTCCTGCGTCCCAACTGCTTGTA